CAAGCTGGTGACAAAGATAACACACTAATAAGCTCAAGATAAAAATAGATGGTGAGGATTATTGATGTATATACAAGATCCAAGCACCTTACTCATTTTCAGATTTTACAGTAAAAGGGTCGCGTTTGAAAAGATCTTCAGCTAATCAAAAACTAAATAAATAAATGGGACTCTGAACAGTAAGTAACTTAGAAACTTGCTCCACCAACTACATGCTTTCTGTCACTGCACTTTTTAAATAAACAGCTTCATAAATCAAGACTGTGCCTACTCTTAGGAGCATTGCAGTTGTGAAACTAGAGAAACTACAGCTTCCTTAACACACTAAATGTCAGGGTAGCAGTTACGTCCTAATTTAAGATCAAAATTCTCTGTATCAAGTGCAAAGCCAGGAGCAAACCTTTCCTCATCTCTTGCTGTGTTTCATTGGGCATTTATAAGCAGCAAGAAGGATAAAAACCAATAACAAGAACTATTGAAAATAAATTATTCATAAACAATAACTTCTGTTGTGTTTGCACTTGGAGAACAGCAGCCCATTCTTGCTGCTTTGTTCTGTACAGCAAACTCCTACAGCAATCCTTCCATTTTTCATTTCATCCAGTGACTCAGCAGCCTTTCAGTGTTCAGTGTTGTTTGAGGAGCTCACATTGTCTCAGTGACTCACCTGAAATGTCCATGATGACTCCTCCAGCTTCTCTGACAACTGCTGCCCCTCCAGCCATGTCCCAGCAGTGGATGCCCATGTGGTAGTAAGCATCAGCCGATCCGCACGCTACCAGACACATGTTGACAGCTGCGCTGCCTGGGGAGCGGATTCTGTGGATGGAAATGGGATGTTTGCTTTCAACTTCCAGATGCTCTGCTAAGAGTTAAGTATGTTTTTTGGTACATTTGCAGTTATAATTCTTGATTTTTTTTTTTTTCATTTTTGTAGGATAAGCAATGTGTTTTTTTAATTGTAGGAGATAGCACTTCAGTCAGTTTTGTAACATTCTAGTTACCCTCTATCTAGTAGATTTGATGTTAGAGGTAGAATCTGACATTCAGTGCGGCATTCAACCCCTTTTCATTTGATTTCAAGGCATGATATGAGGTTCTCTCTGTTGGATGGCTTTTTAATGTGAAAAAGTCACAGAAAACAAACTTATCGGTCATTGAGGTTAACACGGACCACAATCATCCATAAAAGTAGTATCAAAACAAACACTGCTGTCATTTTCAGGATGTTTCACCACCTTTAAGGGCAGTAATGGAATAAGAAACAGCTGCTACAGGAAGCTCTCACTTTGCCCTGCAGCTGCTGCTGCTGTTGTTGTTGTTGTTGTTGCTGCTGTTGTTATTGTGAGAGAGAACACCTGCATAAGATCAGATTGTGGTAGCAATTTCATGCACTTCTTAATTACAATGATTTGGTTTTACTGTAAACAAATACACCAGCTGTTCTGTATTTCTGAATAAGCAGCTGTTCAGGGGGTGTCTGGTGTACTATTAAACTAACACTGGATGTACAGCTTGTACATATTGAAGTGCATATTTACCCATGTACAGGGATGCTGAGGATGTTTCTGATGTTGGCCATCATTGTTTGAAATTGCTCGGCGTCCTTCTTGAAGCCCATTTCTGTCAGCACCAAGGATTTACTAATATCTTGGAAGGAAACAAATAAAAAACAAGTATACTAATAAATAAAATATCATTATTCACTCATTAAACAAACAGCTGCAGGTTTGCGCTCTCTGAGAAAAACAGAAATGCAGTCTGTTGCCGGTACAGGGAAAGGATTTTAGCTCCATCTGGTGGATTTGTTTATAATTGCAACTTCTCAATATTCACCTTCTTGTCCAGACACCTTGATTGGGGCTCCATTGCAAAATGCTCCCTTTCCTTTACGTGCTGTGTACATTTTATCTTCGATGCAGCTGTAGACAATCCCAAACTCTATCTGAGACCAAGCAGCAGCACAGAAAACAGCACCGATTAATGTGGGGCTGGTTAAAAGGCAGCAGCTTTATAAAAGGAGAATCTTTAGATATTAACTGGGTTAATGGTCTGCAATCATGTTAATGTTTCACATAATCAAAACATCACAGTTTAAACACACGAGTGGTTCGCATACAATAAAGCGTACCTCTTTCTTCACTGTGAAACCGATTGATACAGACACAAACGGGAACCTGCACGAGAGAACGTTACAATATAAAGCATTCAATTATGGAACTCCCTTCAGGTTTAAACTCAGAGGAATCCTTTTCCATTATCAGTTCAGTTTCATCAGCGTTGTCTAATTATCCCTGACAGAGAGGACAATCCAAGAAAGAATCTAATTAAAAGATAAAAATAGTTGAAGAGCAACAAAGATAAAAACAGAGCTAGAACTGTAACGCAGAGATTTTTACAACATTTAATCGCAGACCGTGCTACCTGTGAACAAAGTTGGTGGTGCCATCGATAGGGTCGATAATCCAAGTGGGATTGTCAGAGAGGGTGCTGGGGGCGCCTGCTGCTACGGACTCCTCGCCTATAAAGCTTCAAAGTGAAAAAAGAGAGGAGAAGTGAAAATAAGCGTATGATAATTCTATGCATCGTCTATCAGGTACCTCAGCTGTAAAGTAATAACGCTGCACTTGACACTTGCTCTGTTTTCTTTCCAACCAGAATATGTGATATTGTGAGTATGTAATTGTGAGTAGTAATATGAGTTCTTGTGTTTCACTTTCCCTTGGAAATTTTTACATGTATAAACATTTCATATGCTGGTAGCAGTAATTTAAGACTTGGTAGAACAAAGTCTTAAGCAAGCAAAATAAACAAACCAACCAATAAATATCTTTTTTCTTAATATTTGCAGGTATCATGTTATTAGGGGACTAGTGTTATTAGGGACTACATGTAACAAATGTGACCTCCGTTTTAATACTGCTAGCGTAAAAATAAAGGTCGCATTCCAGTTAAGATTGGATGGTAGGGCTGTGCTATATTCACAATAATACTGGCATACATTTGTTCGTTTGTGTTTTTACTTATTTAAAAACAAAAAAAAAAAACATGTCATATTGCTTAATCAAGGATAGCAACACCATACGATACCCAGCATGGATAACAACAAGATAAGCCTAGCCATGTCTGAGAGCAAGAGCAGCATGTCAGCCTCCTATAACGACTTAGTATCTAAAAAGGGAACTACTTCACCAACCTCAAAGAAAATACAGGGCTTTAAAAAAATGAAAACATGCCCAGAAAATGTCCCTGCTAAAGGAGGGAACATCAGTGTGTTTACCACTAGAGGCAAAAATGCCCACACAAATAAAAAGGCCCTCACAGAGCTGAAGAGTTACATTCAGGAGCTGCATTTTACTTCAAATTTCCAGGGAAAACACTACTGAGGATGTGTTTGATACAATGCTGTGTCACCATTAATGCTGCTGCTACTGCTGGCACCTTGTTTCATTAGACTCACATAAGGTAGTCTGTAATCAGTGACAGCAGCTTATTGGAGAGAAAGGATGAAACATGCCCTTCGTTCTTTTGTACTAATATATGCTGCTGGCCATAAGCTGCGATCTGCATTTTTTTCCTCACAAATATCATTATTGGAAATTTCCTTATAATATCATAATATACTTTTGAGGTAATATCTCCCACCCCTACTAGATGGAAAATCGTTAAACCATAATAAATCATGCATACTTCTCACCATGTTCTTAGACCAATTAGCTCACATACCCTCTCTCATGTCCATGTTTTCTAATGAAGTAGAGTACCTGTGTGTTGGGTACTTTTCCCTGATGGAAGATATAATGAGCTGTTCCACTTTCTGGTCCGTCTCGGTCACCAGGTCAACCGCTGAGCTCTTGTGCATGACAGCGATGTCCTTTTGGAGCGCCTCGCAGATCATCTGGCAGAAACACAAAAGTGAGAGGGGAAAAAAAAACAAAAGATTTCTTGGATGACTGACTACATCTGCTGCTTTAATTAGCTTCACGTGTTGGTGTTAACATATGTTGGTGCCACAGATGACAAGATGTTTAGGCTACGAAGTCCAAATATATTTATGAGCTGTAATTATTGTTTCTAGTGTCTGGATAATGTGATTCCTCACAGATGGAAGCCTCTGTATACATTGGAATAACACACACAAAAAATTAAAAATAAAAACAACCCACACACACATTATGTCGAGATACGTAAGCAGCAGTAAAACTGATTTTGATGAAAGCGCCCACACGGTTGCTTCTTCAACCTTTGCTTGATTTAAACAAACATTTTCCTCAGTATTTTATTTGCATTTTTAACAAGTACCTACCAATTTTATTTGGGCTCATCAATACTTTGCATTCAACTTTTCTTTTTTTCAAATCCAGCACTGAATAATTTATGATCCAAACTATATCACCGATACATACAGCTGACCTCTGTACATTATGCATCTGAGGTCAAAAGTTATTGTGGTACATTTTTATATGATACTGTTATAAGTTCTTCCATGCCTCTTCTAGGGACAGCTGTGGCCAGAGGCATAAAGAGCCATTTCTCAGGAATAGTTTCTTCAATTTTGGCATAAACAGAGTCGAAGAATGAACAGATAAGAATCTGCTAGTCAAAAGCCAAGGTCAGCGTGACCTCTTCAAACCAATTTTTAGGCATAACTCGACAATTTACAAATAATGATACAATTTCACACTAATGCCTAGGAGGATAAAATGATAACACTTTGGATGAGAAACAATAACTTTACTGCAAAAACATCATATTTTTTCTAATTGTTTGAGTGTAATGTGTGTGGCCATCATTGGCCATTATTCAAGGGCATCACTCAGGAGCATCAGGGGCGATTGGGACCACAGTTTACATTTGGCCAGATTCTGAATTGGTGACACTGATCACTTGAAAACTGTGGACACTGTATACACCTTCTGAATTGCTAGCCCAAAAAAGTGTGTGGGAAGTGATTTATTACATATCTGTCTGCACAGTCATGGGTGTAACATGTAATTTGGCTTTTTTGTTGTTTGTTTTGGATTATGTGCTAGTTTCTCCTTAATGGCATATCTCACTTTAAAAAGAAAGACATGTTACTGAGGTTATTATTTGCACTCAAAGTGCATTTCCATGCACACTGTTGTCAACCATAATCAAGTAAGTGTAGCTTCAGTCGTACCTCCTGAATCATTCTACAATTGGAGGGAAATTTAGGCTTCAAAAACGGTAAGATAATGATATTATTAAATAAAGGGTGCACTATGTATTTAAGAAAAACAACTAATAAATATCCAAAGTTGATATGTCAACTGTAGGCATCAAAGGAACATATCATGAGATACTTTAGTTGCATGATTAAAATGGTTCAGGATCACAGAAATTATATTTAATAGTCTCTGAAGTTTTTTTTTTTTTTTTTACTTTCTAATGTTTGTTTCACATGTATGGCAACATGGTGGCAAATCAGAGTTTTCTCAGAAAAAGATTCAAGCTGTGAAATGTATTGCACTGCAAAAGTCAGGGATAAATGGTGTTATATAAATAAAGGAAGTGAACTTTGAAATGAATTTGTTGTGTTTTGGTAATATAGGTAACAGGGTTGCATTGGTGAGAGTGACGCACTCAATCCAGTCAGAAGATTGGAAAAATACAAAATATTCAAAGAGTTATGTTAGCACACAACTCAATCATGTCACTTCCTCTTTGTTATGCCACTACACTGTTAGTCTTGTACTTTTTCAGGCTGAATGGGGTTCAGTAACAAGGTTGCACATACCTAATGGGACTCAAACTGCAGTACAATTTAATCACTGTTCTTAAAAATGTGTTTTTGAAAAATAAGAAATGTGTCAACACAATCAAAACAAAATAAATTGAATTTGTAACTTATATTAAATTTAATATTTTTGAGTAGAAGTTTGGTAATCAATAAGTTGGGACAAGAAACTAAATAAAAATCCCATCTTGGGGGGTTTCTAAGAGTTTTATTGCATTTCACATATTTTTGACAACTAGGTTTACATGTTGTCCCAGGAAATGTATGACTCAACAAACGTCAAACGTGTGTTTTAGCAATGTGTGCATGGATTATTTTTTAATTCATTTTCATGGGTGGAAGAAAAAAAAAAATAGTCATGCATGGTAACGTGGCCCTCTTACCTTTCCGGCCCGTTTAGTGACCTCTATGCAATAATCCATGCACTCCTGCCATGGATCACTCATGATAAAGGGGAGATGAGGCGATATTCAGAACGGAAATACAGACGGAAGAAAGCTGTAGGAAGAAGCACAACTTTCGTCATTTACAATAGCAAGGTGCAATTATATACCGGCATATGACGGTACGTTGCAATTACCGATATATGACGTGAGTTAACTGCTGGAAAGCTAGCTGCATTAAATTGAAGAAGCAATGAAATCTGTCAAATAGCATAAATTAGCCCTCTATGCTAGCTTTTAAAGGGAGAAAAGGGGATATGTACACTGGAGGTAACACTGATGATACCCAATGACAAACATACGCTTAACGGCTTTTCTACAACGCAATATCATTACATTGATTTGTGTTTGTAAAAAAAGATATAGCAGCATACCAGTTCCGGGAGCTAATTTGACGGACTTCTAGAGATGAATGCCTTCTAAGCAATGACATTTCGCCACTGAAAGGTGGGGCTAAGCCGAACTCTCAGCCTAATTGGTCAATCTGTGCCGTTTGATTTAACAATCTTCGCTGTCATTGGCTAGAAGGCTGTCATGTGTTTTCTTCAGCCGCGTTGTTACAGGAAACAGTGGGTCTCCTGGAGAAAGGAAAATGTCTTTGCGAGTACTCAACTTTGTAGCTTGAACAGAAGAGGCAGCAATAAGGGCTGAAATTTGCGATTTTAGATTCAGAAGACAAAGAAAACTTATCAAACTGACAAAAAAGTAAAATAAATATTAACTGTAAATAAGTACAATTCCCCAGACTGACCTCGCCGGCTTAAAAACTATAAAGGCAGTGAAGCACTGCAAACAAGGCATAACGAATACTTGCTAAACCTGAAGAACACAGTTCAAGGTGCCTTTGCTTTCACGCGAAATAAAACTCACTATGCAAAATGACAGCGAAAAATCAGTTGAAATAGTGTTATTTCACTCCAAATTGATGTGAGATCATATTTCTTACACCCAGCTTCATTTTCTAATTATGTATTTTTAGTGGAGGTAAACCGATTCAGAATACTTTATTGTCATTATGGAGTCACATAGTAAAATTCTTTGCACTACTTCTCAACTTAAATCAGACAGCATTTACGACACACAAACATACAATAAATGATATCACATAATAGGGAAACAGTATAAGCAATATTAATGTAAGGCTAGGTCTGGTCAGGTCAGCTGTGATGTTGTTCTCCTGTTCCACCTCCTGCCTGTGTCTGAGGACAGACAGGAGCATGTTGCCTCTTTCTGGACACAACATGTGTGTAATGACCTCCTTAGTCTTGCTGGTGTTTGGAACCAGGTTGTCTTAAAACCATTTGGTCAGGTGCAGGTGCTGGACCTAGATCTTTGGAAATATCTGCGAAATACATTAAAGCAGAAAATTTGACTATACTACTATTCTGAAAGTCTGACGTGGTGTTACACTCTTAAAGATCATAGCCAATAAATATTTAGCGCCCTTTTAGGCCAGAAGGTGGCAGCAGCAACACTCTGAGTGACGCTGCAACCAGCAAGAGCACTTTCTCTCATGAGGAAAGGCAAACTTTTTTTTTTTTTCAATTGTTTGTTGTTGTTGTTGTGCTTTTCAGCTGCATGCAAATTCTAATTGTGAATTACATTTCATGGTCCACATCAGATTCTGCTTAGTCTGGACTGAAAAGCTTAAGGTGAACATCTGCATGCAATTCCTCTCATTCAAACTTGAGAAACAGCTTTACTTATCCAAAACAATTGGCAGCCTCATACATCCAAGGAAATGCCTGCTTATCTGCATCTCACAAAGTTTTGTAACTATGCTTGCAGTAGCCGCCCTGTTAAAGCGCTTTCGGAAGTCCAGGGTGTGCGTCTTGAGTCTCAGTTTCACACATAAACAGAAAAAGAGAGAAGAAGAAGAGCATACTTAATAGGACTTCCCGTAGGTCCGCTGCTGAAGAGGGCAGCAAACACAGATCAAATTAGACTTCAGCGTCATGCTTGGTGACACTTCATCTCGACACAGGTTAACACTTCAACCCTTGCACCCTGTCAGCCAGTAAATTACTCAGCTGATAATGTCTCCTTATAGCACTGGTTCCTCTCTAGCCCACAGCTAATTTCCATACACTAACTCACATTCTCAGATAGGAGCCCCTTACCTCAAGAGGGCAAGAAATTGCCAAATAATACCGTCCTCCTTGGGGGGAGTGGAATGCAGTGAGAATACAAATTGTGGTCTCTTGAGCTATCGCTAGACTGACTGTCTGCATGCAAATAACTATTACCGACATATTTCTGTGAGTTTTTAAACAATCTACAACCCACATCAAGTTGATGAGAGCGCAGTTTTAAAATGTTAATTCTTCCAAAACATGGCATAAAATATGGTAATTTAATCAACTTTCTATATCTATGTAAGAGATTACAGATTATTCTGCTTTGTCTGTAGTCTGTATTTAATAATATTTATTTTGGTCTGCTTTTATTTTAGCAAGCTTCAAGAAATATTGGCACATTTGATGTAGGAATGGAATTAGTGCTTGCTCTTTATCTGCGGCTTTCACAGCTCACAGCTCTTACTTTAACATCTGGATGGGTTTAGGCCTTGTTTAGCATCATTTTCTCAGCATTTTTCTTTCTTTGGATCATTAAGCTCAAGCAGTCACGTGCAGAGTGCTAACAGTGCAATTAGCTCGAGAGGCACGAGGGCACAACCTCATTCATACTGTCTTAAAGATTTAACCTCAAGTGACCCTTTCCTCAGAAATTGAAAATCATCATTTTCTTTAAGCAGTTAGTTTGAATGTCTGGCAACAGTTAGGGATGCATTATACTTTCCAGCTCCCTACATATTTTCTGTGGATGCTGCATATATTAACATTAAACAGAATCAGTGTGTGTCACTGTTGGAAGTTCTCACATC